GAAATAAGCTCTGATAACTCTATCCACTCATTTGGGACTTGCAAATGAGTGGATAGAGTTATCAGAGCTTATTTCTTGGGTAGCATTGAGGACTGGGTTGGGAAATTGTTTCATTAGTGGGATGAATTGTAAAGGACCTGCCGAGCATGGGCCAACAGGACTGCTGCAGTGATCCTCCTTTCTTATGTTCATCAACCACTATCACAACTGCTTCCACTCTACCACCAACATCTTTGTATTTTTCTACAAACTTTTTCATAAATTATGTGTTTCTCACATTCTTTACCAAAGGGCTGGCACTAGAAGCTTTCTTTGGTGGTAGTGATGGTGGTAGAAGGTAGTAGTGATGGTGGTAACAGTTGTAATAGTGGTAGAAGGTCGTAGTGATGGTGGTAGAGGGTTCCTTCTTTAGTGATTCAGCGATTCTACCAACTCCTCCAATGTTGTTGGAGTTATATAGGGCTACAAAAACCACCACCGCCTCACCACCATTATGGACGGCTTACACTCAGTGGCCCTTATATACCCAACAACAACACAACACAACACCTCTCGTGACATACGTAATGACTTATTTTATTCATTCTACAGTATATTCCATGTTTCTATGTTATTAATATTGTTTATTATGTCATATTAGTTGAATTGTGATAGATAAATAAGCCACAGAGTTGATATTAGTGTCATATTCTCCAACAATAAACTTGCCATCCCTCCCTCACACAAACAAATAGCCAATAAGAACATAATGGAAGAACACTGCAGGTCTACTGGCCCATACAAGGCAGGTCCTTATCAGAATGACCTCCACCCAAAGCTACCCAAGAATTTACTCCCGTACCCAATGACACAAATCAAACTCAGCTCCTCCAACTCGTATATTTGTCCAATCTCTTCTTGAAGCTACCCAAGGTCCTAGCCTCGGTCACCCTACTGGTAAGTGTGATTTTAAATAAGAACTTAAAGTAGGAACACTGGAACAGGCCTGCTGGTCCATACTAGGCCGGTCCTTCACAAATCCAACCCATTAACAGAACAAATGCTACCCAAGCAATAAACTCAGGTGCAAGTCCGACTCAAATCCAACCCCTTTCACTCGTGTATTTATCCAACCTAAATTTGAAACTACCCAAGCCATAGCTTTTAGAACATTGGAAAGGAGGAACACTGCAATAAGCCTGTTGGCCCATACTAGGCCGGTCCTTCACAAATCCAACCCACTAACAGAACAAATGCTACCCAAGCAATAAGCTCAGGTACAAGTCCGACTCAAATCCAACCCCTCTCACTCGTGTATTTATCCAACCTAAATTTGAAACTACCCAATGTTTTAGCTTCGATCACCCTACTAGGCAGACAGTTCCACTCATCATCTACCCCTATTACCAGTGTTCATTTATACATTTTATTAGTGTCCTAGAGTCCTTATGGAGGGGGATTCCCCTTCCAAATAACCTCTCTTCCCTCTCTCCTCCTCCCTGTCTTCTATTCATCAACAACAGCCTTCAATAAAGGTAACTGTCATGTTGAATGTTCATTCTTTTGTGCATGTAAATCTATCTTTTAGGTAAAAAAAAAAATTGTTGTTAATACTTCTGGGTGTCTGGAACGAATTAATTGGATTTACATTATTTCTTGTGGGGAAAATTTATTCGAAAATCGTCCATTTCGATAATAGTCCCACTTCCAGGAACGGATTATGGACGATTATTGAGGGACCACTGTATATATATTTTTTTTTTTTTCAACAAGTCGGCCGTCTCCCACCGAGGCAGGATGACCCAAAAAAGAAAGAAAATCCCCAAAAAGAAAAATACTTTCATCATCATTCAACACTTTGACCTCACACATAATCACATAATCATATCCCACGAAGGCAGAGTCTGCCTGGAGTCTACTTAGAGGGCATTCCTGGGATCAAAGCCCCCACAGCCCAATCCATGACCAGCCCTAAAATGAAAAACAAAAGTTTTGTTTTTAGGTCACCAAAATTAGGGTGACCTAAAAAGAAAAACGAAAAGTTTTCTTGTTAGGTCACCCTAAATTTAGTAATTTATACAGGAGAAAGGGTTAACTATGTACACTGGACCCTCGAATTTAGTAGTGCCGTTTCTGAATGCAAAACTATTTTTATTATCTATAAAATGTACTTTTTGTTAACATTTCCCATAGGAAATAACGTAAATCCAATTAAACCATTCCAGACACCCAAAAATATTAACAAAAAATACATTTTATAGATAAAAATAGTTTTGCATACAGAAACGGCACTACTAAATTCGAGGGTCCACTGTATTTCATGCACCTTAACCCTTTCAGGGTCCATCCCGTAGATCTACGGCTTTACGTTCAGGGTCCAAACCGTAGATCTACGTCATGAGCTCAGCTCACTCTGATAAACTGTGAGTGGTACATTTGGGCCTAGATATGAGAGAATACATCTATGTGGTATGTGTGCACCACATAAAACAAATCCTGCAGCACATTGTGTATAATGAGAGAAAAAAAACTGAGACCATGATTTTCGATTAAAACAGTGACTTTGCAGTGTTTTTTCGTATGTTTTTTATAGTTGTATTTGCGATTTCTTGGTCTCATTTGATAGAATGGAAGACACATTACAGAAATAGAGATGATTTTGATTGGTTTTAGCACTGGAAATGGCTTGAAACTGAGCTCAAAGTAGCGGAAATGTTAAAATTTTGCCGATGTTCAAGAGTAAACAAACGACCTCACACGTCTAATACACACGAGCTGATGGGTCTAATATACATTTACAAATGTGGTGATGATATTTATACAATTATTACAATTTTGCATAACAGTAAATCTTCTATTCTTTGGTGTGAATAAAAATTCATTATGTGAATAAGAAATCAAATTGGAATTTATTTGTAAAGCCTCAAAACGTAACTAATGAACAGAGGAAATGTTAGTTTAGTCCCAGGAATACCTACATTGTTTATTCTGGACCCTATTTTGAAATTGGAATATTTTGAACTTTGTGTTAAATTGGCCAAATTACCGATTTCCAATCACATTATTTTGTAGTTGAAACAGTTGACTTGGCGATTTCTTGTGCTCAATCGATTGAATAGAAGTAATACTAGTGAAATAGCTAAGAATTTGGTTGACTGGAATAATGTAATTGGCCTAAAATGGGAGTCAAAGTCGGCAAAATCGCCGATTCGTAAATATCGCTGACACATCAAAATTTGCGAGAGCATAATTTCGTCAATTTTCCATCAAATTTCGTACTTTTTGTTTTATTACCTTCACAAAAGGATTCTCTACCATTTCATAAGAAAAAATAACAATTTTTTTTTTTTTTAAATTCTTGGACACTGGGGCACCACTTCAGATTTTGGCCTTGGACCCTGAAGGGGTTAATCATTTCCATCATATCTTTCAAGTATCTGTTTGTAGGTTATCGGCAACAAAATATTAGCTACTGACTTTATTGCTGGTTTTGTAGCTGTACTGAACTTTACATTCTCTAACAGTGTAACAAAATACATTATTAAATGTACAAATACAGCTGAAGTCTTGTTTTAAAACATTGCCAAGGAAAACATGTGCAACTCTTTGTTATAATCGACCATTCTGAGAAAATTGTATGCACCTGTGCCAAGGAAAACATGTGCAACTCTTTGTTATAATCGACCATTCTGAGAAAATTGTATGCACCTGTGCCAAGGAAAACATGTGCAACTCTTTGTTATAATCGACCATTCTGAGAAAATTGTATGCACCTGTGCCAAGGAAAACATGTGCAACTCTTTGTTATAATCGACCATTCTGAGAAAATTGTATGCACCTGTGCCAAGGAAAACATGTGCAACTCTTTGTTATAATCGACCATTCTGAGAAAATTGTATGCACCTGTGCCAAGGAAAACATGTGCAACTCTTTGTTATACTCGACCATTCTGAGAAAATTGTATGCACCTGTGCCAAGGAAAACATGTGCAACTCTTTGTTATAATCGACCATTCTGAGAAAATTGTATGCACCTGTGCCAAGGAAAACATGTGCAACTCTTTGTTATAATCGACCATTCTAAGAAAATTGTATGCACCTGTGCCAAGGAAAACATGTGCAACTCTTTGTTATAATCGACCATTCTGAGAAAATTGTATGCACCTGTGCCAAGGAAAACATGTGCAACTCTTTGTTATAATCGACCATTCTGAGAAAATTGTATGCACCTGTGCCAAGGAAAACATGTGCAACTCTTTGTTATAATCGACCATTCTGAGAAAATTGTATGCACCTGTGCCAAGGAAAACATGTGCAACTCTTTGTTATAATCGACCATTCTGAGAAAATTGTATGCACCTGTGCCAAGGAAAACATGTGCAACTCTTTGTTATAATCAACCATTCTGAGAAAATTGTATGCACCTGTGCCAAGGAAAACATGTGCAACTCTTTGTTATAATCGACCATTCTGAGAAAATTGTATGCACCTGTGCCAAGGAAAACATGTGCAACTCTTTGTTATAATCGACCATTCTGAGAAAATTGTATGCACCTGGCCATCTTGTAGTGATTTTACAGCCTTTTTTATTTTGGTATTGATTATACTTCAGTTGCAAGTAGGAAGCTAGTAAGAGCAGAACTACTTCTTGAGTTTAAGTTTTAAATAGGTTTTGATAACCAAGAAGCTGTACAGCTGTTTGGTAGGTGAGAACTGAACTTAATATTATCTTTAGCAGCTGCATCTAGAAAGTAAGAATTGAACTACTACTTCAGTTTAAACTTCAGTGTTTTATGACCAAGAAGCTGTACAGTGACACTATTAATTTGAGTTTTATATGGCTTGGTAAAGTATCTTTAGTTGGTGAAAACTAATCTCAGCATTGTTATATCTTTAGCATACTAATTATGGTATTACAAAATTAACATGATGTGGTGAATCATATTATTTATTAAATTTAATTTCATTTAAGAAGATGTTAACACAAAGTATATTTGATTGGGAATATTTTTGCTATTTCAGAAAGCAGGTGTAATGCAACAGACGGATATTCTTTGTGTCTCGTCGGTGGCTGCTATCCAACCAAGAAACGGTGTGATGGTGTTGTCGATTGTACTGATGGCTTTGATGAAGTGGATTGTGAGTATACTGGGCAGTTAGAATTTTTAGAGCCAGCAGGATGTTGAAAAGTTTTTTTTTTTTTTTCAACAAAACCGGCCGCATCCCACCAAGGCAGGGTGGCCCAAAAAGAAAAACAAAAGTTTCTCTTTTTAAATTTAGTAATTTATACAGGAGAAGGGGTTACTAGCCCCTTGCTCCCGGCATTTTAGTCACCTCTTGCAACACGCATGGCTTACAGACGAAGAATTCTGTTCCACTTCCCCATGGAGATAAGAGGAAATAAACAAGAACAAGAACTAGAAAGAAAATAGCAGAAAACCCAGAGGGGTGTGTGTATATATATGCTTGTACATGTATGTGTAGTGTGACCTAAGTGGAAGTAGAAGTAGCAAGACGTACCTGAAATCTTGCATGTGTATGAGACAGAAAAAACACCAGCAATCCTGCCATCATGTAAAACAATTACAGGCTTTCATTTTACATTCACTTGGCAGGACAGTAGTACCTCCCTGGGTGGTTGCTGTCTACCAACCTACTGCCTACATGAAAGTGGTATATAATATCAAAAAATTGAAGAGTAAGACACATGTGCAATGGTTAGGTATCTTTATTGTTGATTGAAACATTTCACCTGCACAGTAGACTTCTTCACTCAAATAGTACATCATCTTTACTCCAATACCATGCCTGCTGCCTCTGTATTTGACTGAAGAAGTCTACTGTGTAGACTGAACAAGAGTACTGTGCATTACAAGTCTACTGTGTATTCTTCAGTCTACACAGTAGAAAGTTAAAAAAGACCAAATAAACTATGATACAAGCTTTAACTTATTTAGGAAGAAAGAAAATAGGTCAGAGTATAGCAGTGGAAGTCACAAATATTAACTTGATGTCATGATATTCATGTTACTTAAGAACATGATCCATTTCAGAATCTAGTTTTTAAACTAAGAGTGCCTGGATTTTTTGGATTATTTTGGATTCTGAATTATTCTGGTCCATAGAATAGTCAAAGTATTACCTGTATACCACTCTCTTTAAATGTTTTGTATAATGCATATCTCTGATAAAAATATTCACTATTGATGTATTTTTATATCAGTATATTAATTTAGTGTACAGATGTGTATTGTAAGTCTGCATTTGCATATGCATCATGCAGTTGTATTAATGATTTACTTTTTCAGGTTTTGACCCATTGGAAGACAAGGAATTGGACTTCCGTATTCATCGCTACATCAAATTCTCCGACTTTTTTGATACAGAAGATGGTGATTGGCTTTGGCTTGATATAAATATAGGTAAAGCAGTATATTAATGTTATATGTATCTTGGCTCACATGTGGTTATTGTGTTCTAATCTAATGCATTGTGGTTATTGTGTTCTAATCTAATGCATTGTGGTTATTGTGTTCTAATCTAATGCAATGTGGTTATTGTGTTCTAATCTAATGCATTGTGGTTATTGTGTTCTAATCTAATGCAATGTGGTTATTGTGTTCTAATCTAATGCATTGTGGTTATTGTGTTCTAATCTAATGCAATAGGGGGCCCCTTCCCAACCCCTTGTCATACAGTTGACCCAAAAATTTTATGCATCGTGGACTAAAGTTGCTTCTGGGGCCTCCAGGATTAGGGGCTCTGAAGCTCAAGCTTCGTTAGTTTCATAGTAGATCTGCCCCCTGGGTCTACATGGAAGCTTCTGTCAGTATATAGCCTCTATAATATTGAAGTCAATTTGCTTAAGATGTGAAACAAATATGTTATCAGACTATACATTGAATCGTCATATGGTAATTTTTTCAGTAATTTAAAACAGTTTTTTAGGATTGTATGTAAGACAATGGCAGATGATTGGCTTGAAATTTAAAATAAAAGTAATTTAGAAAGAATCTTAGCCCTAGACACTTCAATATAATTAGTGTATTTATATTGGTGTGACTTTCTTTTAATGGTTCTCTTACAAAATATAAATCATGGAGAGTTGAATATAGTTTCCATATGTAACTTTTAAGGTTGGAAGGAAGGGGTAAGGGAGGTTTTGTGGGCGAGGGGCTTGGACTTCCAGCAGGCATGCATGAGCGTGTTCGATAGGAGTGAATGGAGACGAATGGTATTTGGGACCTGACGATCTGTTGGAGTGTGAGCAGGGTAATATTTAGTGAAGGGATTCAGGGAAACCGGTTATTTTCATATAGCCGGACTTGAGTCCTGGAAATGGGAAGTACAATGCCTACACTCTAACGGAGGGGTTTGGGATATTAGCAGTTTGGAGGGATATGTTGTGTATCTTTATACGTATATGCTTCTAAACTGTTGTGTTCTGAGCACCTCTGCAAAAACAGTGATTATGTGTGAGTGAGGTGAAAGTGTTGAATGATGATAAAAGTATTCTCTTTTTGGGGATTTTCTTTCTTTTTGGGTCACCCTGCCATGGTGGGAGACGGCCGACTTGTTAAAAAAAAAAAAATGTAACTTGTCCTAACAGGACATGTAAAACAATGTGTATTGACATGTATATTAGTACCAACACTTTTATATAGTGCAAGGCATGAGTTTTGAATGCTGCATTGAAAAGGAGGCTAGAAGCAGCAGACATTTTACATATGAGAGGAAAGTGTGGTGAATATCATGTAGAGAATTTGAAGAGTAGAACTTACAGGCAATGTGGGATAGCCATGGGCATAAATCAGAGATTTGATGGGGGGGTTACCAAGGTGGATTGGGCATGTAGATGGACAGGGATAGGTTGACAAAGAGGGTGTATAAATCTGAGGTGGAAGGTAGAAGGGTCATCCAAAGAATGGTTGGAAGACAGGAGTAAAAGATGTTGAAAATTTAAGGGGCTTGAACTTCCAGCAGGCTTGTGGGAGCATGTTCAGTAGGAGTGTATGAACACACGTGGTTTTTAATGAATGTGTTGGAGTGTGAGCAGGGTAACTTTTAAGGGATTCAGGGGAATTGGTTAGCTAGACTTGAGTCCTGGAGGTGGAAAGGGCAGTTCCTTCACTGAAGGAAGAGTGAGGATGTTTCAGTCTGAGGAATAATGTGATTTTGATGTCAGCACACTTCTGGAAAGATGACAGTTGAATGAATATGTTTATGAGAAAAATTTGTCTTGTAGGGTTTTTCCTTTCCAATGTGACAACGAGTGTATAAAGTTCATTGAACCCACCATCTTACTAATATACTCATGTCCTCAATTTTCATGTACATGAAGACTGAACTACTACACAGTTAATTACATGTATCACATCTTTATTTGTGAACAACAAAATTATTATGATTTATTTACACCGCTTATTTTTGTACCTTCATCTTATGTAAAAGTAGTAGAAATTAGAAAGTTTGAACATAAAAAGTATATTATTGTACTCATTCATAGCATTATTTTTCTTATTTTAGTTAGGATGCATGTTTTCCATTAATAACATTCTATTCTTTTATATGTAAATTTATTTCTTCACACAGGTCATAAGGGACATGAGCAGAATGACATTGAGTTGCCCAAGGTGGATGACCCTTATGTGCTCAATGCATTTAGTGTCAGCAAAGAATTTGGGTTTGGTCTTATCGATTACCCACTAAAAGTAAGACCTGAAAATTTCTTTTTAATTCTTCATTAGTACTTCTGCATTTACATTCAGTTATACTTTATTAGTTTTGCATCCTTTTCTTTCTGCTCAGTTTTTCCCTGCCTTTGGTAGTTTTAGTGAAATAACTGCTGGATCGTAAAAACTGATAATGTAACATATAACTTTATTTCAAAATCGCCAGCAGTTATTTTTCTCCCCAAAATAGCTATCCATTTTTTTCCTTCATTGCATAGAAAAGTCTTCACATTCAGTATTGAGATATTAATTGATAATTGGCATTTTTTTTATTGTTAACCCTTTTGGTGTTGGTGACATAGTTGTACACCATGAACTCAGCTCACTCAGATAAGCTGTGAGTGGTAAATTTGGGCCTGGATATGAGAGAATGGGTCTATGTGGTAAGCACTGGAACAGAACTTCTCCAGGCTGAGGGACTGACAACCTCAAATCTACGACTTCAAGGGTGATGGACTGATTACATCGTCTTCACATCTCTACTGCTCCTGCCTACTTTCTGTACTCGACTGAAGAAGCCTACTGTGTAGGCAAAACGTTTTGGAATAAAGTTGCCTAAATGTTGCCTTTGTGTCTTATCTACAACCTGTCGGTATTGCATACTATTTGATATTCACGTAATTGGCCTAAAATAGGACTCAAAGTGGGCAAAATCACCAATGCGTAAATATCGCTGACACAGCAAAATTTGCAATAGCGTAATTTCATCAGCTTTCCATAAATTTTCATACATTTTGTTTTATTACCTTGAGAAAAAGATTCTTTACCATTTCATAAGTTGGTTTTTTTTTTTTTTAGTTCTTGGACACTGGGCACTTTTCAGATCGAAGGTCTGGACACTTAAAGGGTTACTACTTATTTTACTTCATCTTTCAGTACTCTGCAATGCCACCCATGTACATCAGCTTGGAGATGCCAGATTCTTGCAGACGTGGAGAACAGGTAAAATAATGCTCTGTTTTGTATTATAGAGAGCAGAGTTTAAAATGTTTAGTCAAAGTACAGCATTATAGTGTGAAAAATGAACACTCAGAGTGGATGTTATACGTATATAAAAAATTTCAACAAACCAGCCGTCTCCCACTGAGGTAGGGTGACCCCAAAAAGAAGAAACACACTCACCATTCACTCCATCACTATCTTGCCAGAGGGGTGCCAATGCTACAGTTTAAAACTGCATATATCTTCACCCCTCATTCAGAGTTCACACACTGTACTTCCCATCGCCAGGACTCAAGTCCAGCTAACTGGTTTCCATAAATCCCTTTGTACATGTTACCTTGCTCACATTGCAACTACACATCATAAAAACCACTTGCCTCCATTCACTCCTATCTAACATGCTCACAAATACTTGCTGGATATATAAGCCTCCCACACACAAAACCTTTACAACACCACTAAACGGCATGAAGTATTTAAAACTTTTTTTTTTTTACCTCCTCCTGTTAGACTAGTATCAGCACCCATTTACAAGATAAATCAACTTATGGATACAAGAACTTATCAGAATGCAAAGTTGAATAAAGTATTAGTATATTAAATCTTCAAAAATATGAGTTAAATTGTATATACCCACGTGTTTTCCTTGTACGTATTATACCATTTCATAGCATAACTTATAAAACCTGAGTTTTCAGAAATGTATGTTCCACATAATACACACCTTTATTGTATGCAGATCTGTGTAATATTGTCTTATGCTTTTATTCCCTTTTGCAGATCGGAATGCGGATTATGATATTCAACAATCTGCCACAGGAAATGATGATTTTGTTAGTCCTTCATGGGGCCGATACTCATCGTTTTGTGTTGGTGGAGGAACATGGAGTTGTTGACTTCTATCGTCCTCGCACCAAAGCTGGTGACCATCAGCATCTTGTTTCAGTAAGTGGCAGTAAAGTGAGGAGTGATTAGGTAATAATCAGTTTCATGAGTAGTCTAGGGCAGTGCTCAGAAGTCATGTTTATTCACACTTAAAATCATCAACTATAGAACATGATTATATTTATGATTTCAAGATTTCAGAGTCTTCATAGAGAAAGTAGATTGAATTATGAAACTTTTGAAACAGTAGAAGTCATGCCAGTGATGCTACTCTTCAAAGCAAGTGTGCTCTCATGATTAGAGTAATACTCTGTGCTCTTGACTCTTTTTAGAGGATGAAACATATCAAAGCTGCTCACATAGAATAAATAAATGATCTAAACTTTGGGTAGATGAGGAAGAAATATGGTTGGAGGGTAGGACTGGAAGGTGAGGGGTTAGGAATTAGTGTGTGGAGGGTTAAGATGGGTTCTTTGTAAAGAGTATACAGTGGACCCCCGGTTAACGAACTTTTTTCATTCCAGTAGTATGTTCAGGTGCCAGTACTGACCGAATTTTTTCCCATAAGGAATATTGTGAAGTTGATTAGTCAATTTCAGACCCCCAAACATACACGTACAAACGCACTTACATAAATACACTTACATAATTGGTCGCATTTGGAGGTGATCGTTATGCGGGGGTCCACTGTACTTTTGTACTATGAGCATGGTGGCAAGTTTGTGGAGAGGTGGCTGAGGTTGTATAATTAACAAAAAGACAAATTTCTGCCCCAAAAATGAGTATGCCATATTCAGAACATCATTGTATTTGATAAAATATGATACGTATAATAAATGCAGTGTTATCAATTTGCTAAAAAAAAAAAAATCATTTCATTCATAATTTTTATTAAAAAATGTATAAGCATACCTCAAGTGCACCAAATGACAATTTATAAAAAATAAATGCATTTGGATAAAAAATTACACAGGCAGCCCCTCTTATACAGCAGGTTAGGTTCCGGGCTACTGCTATGAAGCAAAATTCGCTGTAAAGTGAAATGTAGCCTTTTTTTTCCACTTTCAAATACATGTAAAAACCTAGGCCTAGCAATAGAGCTAGGCCTAAAGAATGCATGTACAGTACACATATTTACCTTAAAATATTTTCATCTTTAGCTTACAGTCGGTGATGAATATATTTATTGTAAGAAGTTTTGAAGAATGGGTATAATTGAAAACTGCTGCATTAGCAGAGTGCTGTAAAGTGAGGCCTGCCTGTATACAGCAGCAGGAAAAAATGGCACACAGTTTTGTTTGTTTGAAAATACAGTGGACCCCCGGTTAACGATATTTTTTCACTCCATAAGTATGTTCAGGTGCCAGTACTGACCGAATTTATTCCCATAAGGAATATTGTGAAGTAGATTAGTCCATTTCAGACCCCCAAACATACACGTACAAACGCACTTACATAAATACACTTACATAATTGGTCGCATTCGGAGGTAATCGTTATGCGGGGGTCCACTGTATTTGTTACTTTCATTATTTTAGTTTGTTGTGAAGTATATTGTACTGTACCTGAAAAAGTGAATATATTCAGCACTTGCTTTTCAGGAGTTTTCAAATTTTTGGTGTTTTATTATATATTTATTTACAGTTTCATTTGATGGTCTCAATTTTTTCAAAAAGATCATAGTTTTATGCTTATTCTTCATATTGGCACCTCCAGCATCACTACTGTTCCTTTTGGGTGCCATGGTTAGTATCCAAGAGACAAGACAGGGTGATGAAGAGATACAAAACTGTTTGATCAGCATTTGATTAAAGTATGGTTCATGTTCACAAGGCAACACAGCACAAGTGGTTGTTTACACCATGGGTGACACCAGGCCTTTACCCCTAACAGCAATAGACTCTCGCATATGCTAACCATCGGGTGAAGGGAAAATGTCCCATCATGTTTAACTTGGCGAGTTCAACACTTTCTGCGCACTTTCTACACGCTTATAATATTTCATTAGTGTTTTATTGACAGTGTTTATTGGGTTTCTACTGTATTTCCACCATTTGCAGCACCTTTGTTAAGTCCCTCTTGTGTATAACCCATAGCACACTGCCTTGTAAACAGAGATTTTGAATGCTGAGAGGTGCATTCTGACCATGTATCAAAATAATGTAATTTCCAAAAGATACATTAGTCACTACTTTTAAATATTGTTGAATATTTTCAGGTTAATGCTGACAGTGCAATGGAGGTTATATTCCCAATAGTTGCAACTGTTGATCAGGGAGAGATTGAAGTAACGGTGTCAGCACTAACACAGATTGGCAGGGACGAAGAAACAGCCACGCTTATGGTAGAGGTCTGTATGAAATATTTTCTTGATAGCATTTTCATTATTATTTAACGCCTCACAGTCTGTACTGTATACCTTATAATTTGTGGTATCCTACAATGCTATTAAATGGATATTGGTTGTTTGGAGTGACATCTGAATTGTCATATCTGGGTGTCTCTGCAAAAACAGTAATAATGTGTGAATGATGGTGAAAGTGTTTCTTTGTTTTTTTTTTTTGGGTCACCTTGCCTGAGTGGGAGACAGCCAGTGTGTTAAAAAAAAAATATGGCTTACAGTAAAAGCTGTCTTAAATATTTATTACTTGTTACTCAGCTGTATCTATATTACTTATTGGTGGTATTGATTTCCATCCTGTTTGAATATGAATTGGTCATATATTTTTGTCATTTTATTCACTATATTCTTAAGTTTTTGTTCAAAACAACTTTGATTATTAATTAAAGAACAGTTACCTTAATACAGAACATTTTATGTTTCAGCCTGAAGGAGCAACAATAGACCGTCACACTTCAATCTTACTTGACCTCAAAAACAGAGCTGTTGTCTACGAGTACATGGATATCATTGTAGAAGAATCCTTTGTTATCCCGTTGGATATTCGACGACGCTTTGTTGCTGGGTCTCCAAGAGGTCATGTTTCAATTTGCGGTGATGTTGTTGGACCATCCTTTCCAAATGAAGTAAGTTTATTAATATTAGTAATATAGCAGTAATATAGTAATATAGCAGTTTGGAGGGATATGTTGTGTATCTTTATACATATATGCTTCTAAACTGTTGTGTTCTGAGCACCTCTGCAAAGTGATTGTGTGAGTGAGGTGAAAGTGTTGAAATGATGATGACAGTATTTTCTTTATGGGGATTTTCTTTCTTTTTGGGTCACCCTGCCTCGGTGGGAGACGGCCGACTTGTTAAAAAAAAAAAAAAAAGGTACATTACTTGCATATTATTTGCTCTGATGAATACAAAGTAAAGATTGCACATCCAATAAAATCTGCAGTGTCTTATTGCAATTTAATATGCATTATTTAATAAAATAATCCCATTTAAATATTTTACTAGTACAATAAGACCCCATATCTGCGGGTCCAGTGTCCGCGGTTTCGGTTATCCATGGTTTACCGTGGCCCAAAAATAACCCTTAATTTTGCTTAATAATGACCCCAAAGTGCAAAAGTAGTGATGATAGAAGTATTTCAAAGCCTAATAGAAGCCATGAAGTGCTTCCCATCACTGAAAAAGTGATAATTCTTCACTTATGGTGCATAATTTGTCAGTTAAACTTTATAATACATATGTAAACAAAAAATGACTTGTATATTGGGTTCACTACTATCCATGGTTTTAGTATTTGTGGCAGGTCCTTGGAACATATCCCCCGCGAATACGGGGGCCTACTGTATTAGTAAAAAAAGACTTGAAATGGAATGTGGGGTGTGGAATGGTGTTAGGAAGGTATGGTTGGAAAAGCATTTAAATTGTGTGAATATGGAATAACACACCAGTGTTATATTTGTAGAAATATGATGGTCAAATCTGATTAAGAAGAAAGTAGAACACAAATTTAATTATCTGTAGTAGGGCTCTTTGATTCAAGGAATTACACCTATCCTCCCCTTCCTTGGATCCAGCTTTATTAAACCCCATTTCCCAGGTTCAGAATGACCCCTATAAGTTTAGTGCTAATCCCATGATTATACTACTACTACTAATAGTAATAATAATGTAAAAGTAATGGTACTCTTTATAAGAAGCAAATTGAAATGAAATTTTTTTTATTCAGTCAAATAATTTTGTAAGAACTATTTAAATATATGTATGTTACTCCTATGATTAATTTTGTTACAAATTAGTATATGGTGATGAATCTGTTATTAATTAATATGGTAAAAAATTTTGAGTTAATATGCTTGCCATTAGAATATACTGTAAAGAAATTCTCTGTTAGGAAACTAACAAAGAAAGGGGTGAATAATTTGTTGTGGATAGGTAGTAGGCTGGTAGACAGCAACTGCCCAGGGAGGTACTACCATCCTGCCAGGTGAGTGTGAAATGGAAACCTGTAATTGTTTTATATAATGGTAGGATTGCTGGTGTCTTTTTTTTTTTTCTGTCTCGTACACATGCTACTTCTACTTACACTTAGGTCACGCTACACATACATGTACAAGCATATATATATACACACCCCTTTGGGTTTTCTTCTATTTTCTTTCTAGTTCTTGTTCTTGTTTATTTCCTCTTACCTCCATGGGGAAATGGAACAGAATTCTTCCTCCGTAAGCCATGCGTGTTGTAAGAGGCGACTAAAATGCCGGGAGCAAGGGGCTAGTAACCCCTTCTCCTTTATATATTACTAAATGTAAAAGGAGAAACTTTCGTTTTTCCTTTTGGGCCACCCTGCCTTGGTGGGATACAGCCAATGTGTTGAAAGAAAGAAGAATGGTAGGATTGCTGGTGTCTTTTTTTCTGTCTCATAAACATGCAAGATTTCAGGAACGTCTTTGTACATCTACTTACACTTAGGTCACACTACACATGCATGTTTTTTTTTTTTTTTCCAACAAGTCGGCCATCTCCCACTGAGGCAGGATGACCCAAAAAGAAAGAAAATCCCCCAAAAGAAATACTTTCATCATCATTCAACACTTTCACCTCACTCATACATAATCACTGTCTTTGCAGAGGTGCCTAGATACAACAGTTTAGAATCATATATAAAGATATATAACATTCCTCCGAACTACCAATATCCCTCCTTTAAAGTGCAGGCATTGTACTTCCCACTTCCAGTACTCAAGTCCGGCTATATAAAAATAACTGGTTTCCTTGAATCCCTTCACTAAATATTACCTGCTCACACTCCACAGCTCGTCAGGTCCCAAAAACCATTCGTCTCCATTCACTCCTATCTAACATGCTCATGTACACTTGCTGGAAGTCCAAGCCCCTCGCCCACAAAACCTCCTTCACCCCCTCCCTCCAACCTTTTTGAGGACGACCCCTACCCCACTTTCCTTCCCCTACAGATTTATACGCTCTCCATGTCATTCTACTTTGACCTATTCTCTCTAAATGACCAAACCACCTCAGCAACCCCTCTTCAGCCCTCTGACTAATACTTTTATTAACTCTACACCTTCTCCTAGTAGGTTGGTAGACAGCAACCACCCAGGGAGGTACTACTGTCCTGCCAAGTGAGTGTAAAACAAAAGCTTGTAATTGTTTTACATGATGGTAGGATTGCTGGTGTCTTTTGTCTGTCTCATAAATATGCAAGATTACAGGTACGTCTTTCTACTTACACTTAGGTCACACTACACATACATGTACACGTTTATTTATACACACTCATCTGAGTTTTCTTTGATTTTATCTTAATTGTTCTTGGTCTTATTACTTTTCCTTTTATATCCATGGGGAAGTGGAATAAGAATCTTTCCTCCGTAAGCCAAGCGTGTTGTAAAAGCCAACTAAAATGCCTGGAACAATGGGCTAGTAACCCCTTTTCCTGTAAAGATTACTAAAAAGAATAAGAAGAAGAAACACATGCATGTACAAGCATATATATACACAGCCCTCTGGGTTTTCTATTTTCTTAATAGTTCTTGTTCTTGTTTGTTTCCTCTTATCTCCATGAGAAAGTCGAACAGAATTCTTCCTCCATAAGCTGTGCATGTCGTAAGAGGCGATTAAAACGCCGGGAGCAAAGGGCTAGTAACTCTTTCTCTTGTATACATTACTAAAGTTAAAAAGAGAAGCTTTTGTTTTTCTTTTTGGGTCATCCTGCCTCAGTGGGATATGGCCAGTTTGTTGGATGTGCATGGATGTTGTGCAAATGATAAGAAAGAGATGATTGTGGATGTTATGAATGAGAAGAAGCTGGATGTCCTGGCTTTAAGTGAAACAAAGCTGAAAAGGATGTGAGAGTTTCAGTGGAGAGGAATAAATGGGATTAGGTCAGGGGTTTCAAATAGAGTTAGAGCTAAAGAAGGAGTAGCAATAATGTTGAAGGATAAGATATGGCAGGAAAAGAGGGACTGTAAATGTATTAATTCAAGGATTATGTGGAGTAAAATAAAGGTTGGATGTGAAAAGTGGGCTATTGTAAGTGTATATGCACCTGGAGAAGAGAGAAGTGTAGAGGAGAGAGAGAGATTTTGGGAAATGTTGAGTGAATGTGTGGGGAGTTTTGAACCAAGTGTGAGAGTACTTGTGGTTGGGGATTTTAATGGTAAAGTGGGTAAAAATGTTGTGGATGGAGTAGTAGGTAAATTTGGGATGCCAGGGGTAAATGTAAATGGGGAGCCTTTAATTGAGCTATGTGTAGAAAGAGATTTGGTAATAAGTAATACATATTTTATGAAAAAGAGGATAAATAAATATACAAGGTATGATGTAGCACGTAATGAAAGTAGTTTGTTAGATTTTGTATTGGTGGATAAAAGGTTAATGGGTAGGCTCCAGGATGTACATGTTTATAGAGGGGGAACTGATATATCGGATCATTATTTAGTTGTACTAATTTTAAAAGTAAGAGGTAGATGGGACAAGATAAGGGGCAACAAAAAGTAGGGGGGAAGTGAACAGTATAAACAAAGGGGGAGGGGGAATTTTTCGGGTGAGAAAAAAAGCGACTTTTGGGGCAGAAAGGTGGCCTAGTGCAAAATTTGAGTATGTGGGGGTTGAAGGGGGAAAGGGAAATTTATTTTAAAAATGCAGAAATTAGAATGTGGGGCAGTTTGGGGGTTATAGGAGGGGGGGGCGGGAGGAAAGGGGAGTCTTTTGGGGGAATTTATGAAAAAAGGGGTTGTGATAAAAGAAAAAAATTTAGCTTATGAGTTTTTTTAAAAACAAAGCAGAAGCTTTTATAAAAAAGCAGGGGAATATGGAGAGTAAAAGAAAGGTGAAGAGAGGGTGAAGAGTGAAAAAAGAAAAGCAGATGAAAGAGGGGGAAGAGGCACTGTCAAAAAAATTTAAAAATGAAAAAAAAAAAATTTTGGAGTTTTTTAAAAACAATTTAAAGAAAGCCTGGGGAAAGAAAATGGTTTTGTCAGTTAAAAAACAGAGTAGGGAGTTAGAAAGATGGGGAGGGGGAGGTATTAGGTAATGGCAGAAAAATTTTGGGGAATTTTTTTAAATGTTGAGGAAAAAAGGGAGGTGGTAATTACTTTCACTGCCAGGGAGGTATAATCCTTTTTTAGGAGTGAAGAAGAGCAAATGTAAGTGTGGGGGAAGGACGTGGGGAAAATTAAACGAAGAATAAAGGGGGTAAAGCAGCGGGAACTGAGGGGACATGGCAAAATTTTTAAAACCCGGGGAGTTTAAAATTGTTGGAGGGGTTTGGTATTTTTTTTAAAAAATGTATGAAAGGGGGGAAGGACCGGGGAAATTGGAAAGAGAGCATGTAAAATCCCTTTTGAAGGCTTACTCACCCCCTGAAAAACAACTTCAGTCAGTATTACTAACCCTGGCCCCTCCTCGGGAAAAAAATGCAAAAGAAAAAGAAAAAAAAATTTATGGGGCATAAACACTTTATTTTTTTAAAAAATATAAAATATAAAACATTTAAATATAAAATTTAATTGATCCCCCTTAAAGAAAATAAAAAAATAAATGATACCCTGAATTAAAACGCTAATATATATAAAACTTGGGTGCCCCGGGTTTTGGGGTGACACGGGCGTGTTGGAAATCGTAGCCTTTTTTGCTGATAAAAGAGGGGGGGGGCCCGCAGGTGTTGGTAAAAACCCCCCACTCTTTTTTTTCACAGAGTATAGCGTAAAAAATCTTTTCCAGATGACGGGAAAAACAGGTTCTTTACCTGAAAATGTGGGGGGTTTAAACATCCTGCAATTTCCAAACAGGTGCACGGGTTTAAAAATTTTAAACATGGGACGTCTCAGGACGTTAGCCCGGTCTCCTTCTATTCTTCTCCTTTGGGTTGGGGCGGGTGACCCTCTCTGCCCCTTCCCCAAGCTGAAATTGAGAGCCCAGATTCCCCCCACTGCTTAAGAAAATCACCCCCCATGAAAAGTCCCAATACCTAAAAAAAGGGGTTTGGAATTTTTAAAAAACATTTAACAGATAAAAATAAAAGGCCCTTAAGTTAATTATTGGTAAAAAGTGAAGCTTTCAACCAATAATCCACTAAAATATGATCGGGCCCTGTACTTACAGTATTTGGGGAGCTGTGATTTCATGTTTTTACTTTTTTGAACCGGAGCCCCCACACGTCACCTTTCGGGGGGGGGAGGGGGGGGAAAGGGGAATAGGGGGAGCTAGCCCTGACCCCTACCTTAACAACCAGCGGGGCAATCAAACTATCATTTTTGGGGGGGGGAATAGCGGGAAAGCTGGACTTCCCCCTCCCTTAAAAAAGCCGCAATGAAACAATTTTTACAATACACTCCCTCGCTATTTCCCTATCTATTGAATTTTCCCCCTCACACCCCCCATACCAAGATTTAAAAGCAAGGAGTAAAAAGAAGAATAGGCGAGGAAAAATTTTCAAACATGGGGAAAGGGCCGTAAGGAACCCAAATCTTCTATTTGACTGTCCCGACTTAACCAGTAGAGAAAAAATTGGGATGAACCATTGATAACATAATAAGGAATTTAAAAACCGGGAGAAACCAATTCCACCCAAAAAGTTTCTAGAAAAACAAAGGTTTGTGGTCCTTTATCTAAAATAAAATTCCCCCACACAAGAGCCGAAAAATTTCCTTTTCTATGGGAGTATCTCGTTTCTGCAGAGGGAAGTTTTAGATTTAAAAAATATAAAAGGTTTTGGGAGTGTGTGTTTTTTGTGCAGTAAGCACCCTTACCCCAAATTGCAAAAAACTATACTTTTTTTCCAACCTGTAAGTACATGTTTGGGCCCAAAAAAAGTGTGCTTGATTTTATGCCACATCTTACATGGGCCAAGTTTTCGGTCACGGGCAAATCATACCCATTTGAAGAACCCTCTCGGCAGGGTTTTTAGGAACAACAATAGGGAATAACTATCACTGAAAATTTAATTTTAAAGCCCGATTTAATAAATCCCCCATTAATATATTCAAACTTATGAGATCGTACTCCCCAGGGTTTAAATTTTGTTGTTAAAACTTTAAAAACAATCCCGAAGTGAAGGGAAAATTGGCTGAAAAATTGCCCAAAGTCATCCTTGGACTAAAATCTGGGAAAAAAAAGGGACTCACGGTGGGATAAAGGAGGGGGGGAAAAAATCGGGGTTAGGGTTTTGAGCCCTAGAAAAGCCCTTGAGAGTGCCGGGGCAATACCCTTATTTTCCCACCCGACGAGTGGACAGGTGATCCTGCTACCTCGCTATGGGAGAGCAAAATCATTTTTTTTCCACCCCCAAATAACCCAATTTACGAGCCCAAGGGCAGTTTCCCGGGGGCAAAAATTTTGTTAAGAGGTTTATTTAACTTGCAAGGAAAAGACGGGAAAAAATTTAGATCCACGGGGGGTTTGACAAAGACCCTGCCTCTAAAGAAAGAACGGCCCCTTTTTAAGGGTACCCACTTTTAAATAGAAAAAGAAATTGGGGCTAGTACCGGCATTGCCCAACCGTTGAACCATTTAGTTTTTAAAAGTCCAACGTATTGTGGGGAAAGAAATTTTCTGACCCAATAATCTGAAAGAATACAGGACAAAACAGGGGTTTTAAAGAAAGGGGAACAGTTTGTCTGAAATTACGAAAGCACAAACTTTCCAGTGCCCACGAAATATAGCTGGATTTTTTATACCATTAAGCCCCGAAAAAAGGGGTTTTTTTGATCATTACAGTCTTTAAAAACATTTTCCCCAATTTTTTTTGGACCTTTTTTAGAAGGAAAAATCGGGGACGTTTAAACCCTTTAAACCCACCACAAAAAAGAAAAACGGGAAAATAAAAGAATAAATTTTTATTTTCCCCACTAAAAAGGCTTGTTTTCTTAAGGTCTGATAAAAACCCTTTGGGCCCTTAGGGTTTTTTCCCTTTTGGGTCTTTATAGGAATTGTGACCTAAAGCAACAACAGGGGCCCCAAACAATTTCCCTCAGTTTTAATCGGGTTACGTTCTCTAATAATGTTTCTTATCGGGTGGGGAAGAGCGCCCAAATTGGTCAGCAACCATAAAACCCTCAAAAGAGCCCAAAACTGTTTCAATTACTGGAACTCTCTATCCAAAAGTCGAAAAAAACGAAAAAGTGTTACCTGTAACTCTGAAATTTTCCGGGCCAGGTTTTAAGGGGGCCATACCTGAAATTTTTTCCTTAAGAATTAGGGGTTTTTTGATATGTTTTAAAGGGAAATTCCCTTTCTTAAGTATTTAATAATTACAAAATAAATTTTCCTGCAAAAAGTTGCATAGATATTCAAGGCGAAACCAGAAAATAACATTCCAAAACCTGGACCCCCAGGTGTCAGGGGCCCAAATTCACAGAGGGTAGCGGTATTTTAAAACCTGATAAATGTTTTAAAAAAAATTTTCCCCTCCCCCTTTGTGAAGGGAAAGGAAATTGGGGTGTTGAAATATTGCATGCTGAAAGAATGTTAAATTTAAACCCCTTTCCCTCAAATTTGGGTTTGTTGTGTAAAAGTTAACTTTTTTTTCCTCTAATTAAAGGGCAAAAGTTTGTTCGACCCCCGCGATCCTTTTTCTCTCTCTTTTTAACTCAAGTTCTCTAGTTTTTTTTTCCTCACTTTCTCAAAGTTTTTTCCCTCAACACGTTCTTTTAGCTTTTTTCCTTTAACTTCTCTTTTCCTTTGCCCCTTTCCCCCAATTTCCTTTTAAAATTTTAACCCCTTTTTTCTCACGTATTTTAGCTTTTTCCTCACGTACTCAAAGCTCTCCCCCAAAACGATCAAGCCCCAAACCACGCCCCTTTTTGGGCCCTTCCCCTTTTCCTCTTTCAAAACTGCCCTATTTTGGGTTTTCCCCTCTTTAAAATTCGATCTCTTTTTTTTTAAACCCCCATCTTTCTCTTTCAAAACTGTCTTTCCCTTGATTCCTCTATTCTTTCTCTCCTTTTTCCTTCTTTTTTTCAATTCACCTCTTTTTTCAAGTTTTTTTCCGGATCTTAGCACAATGAAAGATTCTAAAATTTTTCCCTGTTTTTCCCCTAACTTACTTCCCATTCACCAAAAACTGGTATTCCTCCATACTTGCAAAAAATAATTTAAAAACTACCGGGGAAAAAAAGAAAGGGAATTATCAAAAAAAATGGGGGGCCCAATTTCCCTGTTTTCCGCTCAAACTGTAAAAAAACCCCAGGGGGCCCTTCGACCCCTACTTCTTTTAAACAATATGAATAAATTTAAAAACAAAGGGGTTCTATGCCACTCCGGCAAAAAATAATTTAGAAGGGGTCACTTGACCATCCAATCTTTCTCACCAAAAAAATCAAGAGTGTCCTACGACATTTTCCCTTGATATAAAAAAAGACTCAAGAAAAAAAATTTTCCCTGGAAAAAAAATTGGGGCCCTGAGGGCTAATCCTCCAAAGGTTTTTCCAAACCGAACAAAAAGGTGGCAGAATTAAAAAATTATATCCTGCCTGACTTACTTACAATAAATTGAACTAAACAATTTACCCCAAAACTTTTAAATACCTGTTTCCGTAGTCCTAAACCCTAGAGAATGATTTCTCATGGCTGGTGGGAACCGTCTGTGGTAACGGCGGGTTTAAAAAATTTCCCAAAGGGAATTTTAGAAGGGAAATTTAATCTTGTTCCCGTCAAATTTTTTTTCCCGGCGGTTTGCCACTTTTGAAGGGGTTACTCAGCCCTGTAACAACTTCAGTCAGTATTTTCCCCCGGGGGGTTTGGGTCCTCCTCAGGAAAATTTAAACATAGAAAAAAAACAAAAACTGACAAACAAAAACACTTTTTTTAAATTTTGAAAATATAAAAAAAAAAACACTTAATATAAATATTGATCCTTTCATTAAAGAAAATTTAAAAATGAAAAAGATATCTGAATTCAAAAGCTAATATATATAAAAAAATTGGGTTTCTGGTGTTTTTGCACGCGTGTTGTTTTGAAAAAACGTAGCCGTTTTCCCGATGGGTGTGGGGGGGGGGGGGGGGGGGGTTTGCAAAGGGGTTTTGGGAACAAACCCCCTGGCTCGTTTCTTCACAGAGTATAGCCGTAAATAATTCCCCCGATGAAAAGGAAAGCAGGTTTTTTTACTGCTGCAATAGAGGGGGTTTCATCCTGCAACTTCATACAGGTGCACAGGGAATGAATTAAAAAAATGGGAAGTCTCAGGACCCTTTTGTCCGTCTCCTTCATTCTTCCCGTTGGTTTGGGAGTGACCCTCTCTTTTATTTCCCAACTGTAAAGAAAAGGGCAGATTAAACCCCCTGGGTTAAAAAATCACTCTCCATGAAAAGTACAATACCCAAAAGATGGGGGTGATTAAATTTAAAACCCTTTAACAGATAAAAAAAGAAAGGAAATAAAATTTTTTACTGGTCAAAAGTGAACTTTCAACAATAAGTCCACTTTAAAATTAAAGATCAAAGGGGTGTACTTACAGTATGTTTTGGGGGCTTAGTCAAGTGGGTTTTTTTGTTTGAACCCCGAGCCCCACAACTCACCTTTCAGGGGGGGGGGGAGGGAGGGGGGGGAAATTTTGGGGGCCCAGACTGACCCAAACCCTTTAAAAAGCAGCCGGGAATCAAACAAACACTTTCGGGGAGGGGGGAAAAAGGGGGGGGGGGGAATAAACGGGCAGGACCTTAAACCCACCTTAAAAAAGTACCAGCAATGAAACGTTGTTTCTAACACTCCCTCGCTACTCCTACTATTGAAAATTTTCCCTCACAGTCCCCTATATATAAAGGGGGGGGGGACAGAAGAGATTTAAAAATT